CTGGCAGGCTGCCAAGCTCTCCTATCCCCTTGGCAGGCAAGCTGAGCTCCTCTTGCCCGTCCCCCCAGGCGCCCCGCTCCTGGGCAACGTCACAGGAAGCATCGTGGGCGGCTGACCTCACCTTCTGCAGAACATGAGTTGCACATTCGCCCTCCAGCGGCGCCATCAGCCAGCCAAGCCTCCCACTTGCTGACCTTTCCATTGGCCTCGCTCCCATCCCTGCTCACTGCACCTTCCCTCCCCTTCCCACTGACCCTGCCCCCGCCACTCTCCTGTCTAGACTGTGCCCATCTCTCCTTCCTTCTCATCCACTCCCCCCCCCTGCCCCGCACCTACCCATCTTTTCTGCCTTCCCATCAGCCTCTCTCTTCTCTCTGCTTTGGGCGACAGTTGAATACCCCAGAGCTCCCTCCATGGCATTATCCCACCCCTGCAGGAGTGGAAGTTGAGTCCATAGGTCCCCTTGGAGATGGGAATCAGAGAAAGAAGAGCGGCCTCACAGTGAGACATGTAGGGACATGTGGGACAGCAGTCTACAGATACCCTACCTCTGAGACCAGGCAGCCAGACGCTGGAACCTCTGCAGAGGGGAGATTTGGAACTCTGGTGACCCTTCAGTTTCCTACTTTAAATCCTCCCCAAGCCTCTAAAATGCCCCCTCCCCCAAGTGAGAACCTGGGGCTGGGATCTCAGGGGCCCAGCCCGCAGCTCTGTCCCCTCCCACTTCCAAGGGGATTCCGGGTGGCTCTGCTGGGAGCCAGCCAGGGGATTTCTCCACACACAGAGCAGGCACTTCGCTTCCTCATTTCTCAGGGCAGTGATAAGCACCTGTCACCCCCTGCTGGGAAAAACATGAAATGCAACAGTTTGCCAGAACACAAAGACCAGCTGTGTCTGTCTGTCTCTCAAAACAAAGCCCACAGAAAATAAATAAAGATCTATATGGACTGGCTGCTGCCTTGGTCAGGACAGTCTCTGCAGGGAGCCGGTGGTTCTGGAATGTATGTGACTTGACCCTGAATGAGTATGTGCGTGGGGAGCATGATGGGCAGTGATGGCTGAGCCTGAGAGGGTGGGGTGAGGGTGGGGGGGAGCAGTACTGGAGAGTGAAGGGTGACCTTGTTTGAGTGTGGAGATGCAGTACTGGGGAGCAGTGGTACAGGGGCTGTCCTGTGAGAGTATGGTTGATGGTGCTTGGGGGAGCTGAATGTGGGGGAGATCAGTGCTGTGGAGCAGCAGGAGCTGACCCTGTGTGAGAGTGGGGAAGCAGTGCTGGGGAGCAGGGGGTGCTGACCCTGCGTGAATGTGGCATAGAGAAACAGTTCTGGGGAGCAGGTGATGCTGACCCTGTGTGATTGCAGTCGGGGGGGGGGGGGGAGCTGTGCTGGGGAATAGGCAGGACTGACTCTGTGTGAACGAGGAGTGGGGAAGCAGTTGATGGTGGTGCTTGGGAGAGCTGACCCTGTGTGAGTGGGTTGGTTGGTTTGTTGAGAGGGCCGCTCTACGGTGAGACTGACCTTGTGTGGGTGTGGGAGTCTCCCCCAGAGGGGGTTATAGACTCTCCCTGACCTAACTTAAGGGCTCCACAGACTCAAGCCCCACCACTCATCGCCTAGTGTTAGCCTCCCCTGTGTCTAGTCAGTGCAGGATCTGGGAGGTCAGGATAGAGGAGGGGAGGGGTGCACATGGCTTTGGACACTGCAGAGGTGTGTGCATCACGATCCCAGCCAGCTGTGTCCTATCCACAGCTCCATAAAACTCTGAGCCCTGAGGCCAGAGATCCTCATGGGGATGCTCGCTCCATAGGAGCCCAGTTGCTGTTCAAGAGCTGGAACAGACACGCTAAACACCAAATCTGGTTCTTCTCCTCCTCTTGGGAGGAAGAGGGGCTGTGCCAAGAGCCTCTTCCAGGGGCCACTGATGTCCAGTTCCAGTTCTTTTCCTCCTTCTGAAGGCTAAACCCAGAGCCCATTGTAGGGGCACAGGAATGCAGTTCTGGTTCTTCACCTCTCTGCAGGACTGCACCCAGAGCCCATTCTATGGTGGGCACAGAAATCCCATAGGTAACACATTTGGTGGGTCTGAGCCCAGTCCCCAACATCCACAATCCTAATGGGCACCTCCTAATGGGCTCCCAGCAGAGAAGCCAAGGAGTTACTGTACCAGAGAGTTATTGAGCTAATTCAGGGACGGTGGGGACTTGGCCCTCCACCAGCTTCCCTGGCTGTACCTGTTCTAGGGGATTCAGAGAGGGCTCTGGACTCCAGGGTTCTCACCTCAACCTATCATCCCCTCCATTTCCCCCCTCCTCCAAAACTAAGCAACACACCCTAAACATATTAATCAAAGAGAGATGGGGAAAAGAAAGGAAAGGAAAGGCGGTGGGAAAGAAAGGAGGAGCTGTGGGATTTATTGCAAGCGAAGAGTGGTAGCATGAAGCATAAGGCCACTAACTTGTCTTAAATAAAGATAATTTCAGCATCCCTCCTCTGGCTCTGGAGGGGGTTAACCCTGTGGTTCTACTGCTTAAATCAGGATCAGAGCTCCATTTCATGAGAATACACAGACATCACAAACACAGAATAAAGGATGGTCCCTACTCCCAAGAGCTCCAATCATTATTAAAAGCCAGCACAACAAGTGAACATGATGGATGCTAGGAGGTAGTAATGAGGGATTCTTGCAGTTACCAAGTCTGACAACAGGCAGGTCCCACATGAGGTATTTTTTTGTTAGAATTTCCTATCAAACCAGATCCCTTGGACTCCCTCAAGGCTCCACCCCAGGAACACGTGATCCTGGGCTTGCTGCCCATTATTTTTAGAGCATTTTATTTATTTTCCCTTTCTGTACAGACTCTCCACACCATGGCCCTTTACCCAACATCATTGTTCCCATCTCGGACCGTGGGGCAGTCCCTCAAGGAGTGTAATCCCCATCTCTTTGCTGCTACACAGGGGGCCAGGATGGGTTCCGAAAGCATAGGGAATCCACTGATCAGTTACGTAATGCCTGCTTTGATGTCCCCACCTGTAAGGATACCAATGGGGCCTGCCCGCTACCTAACTCCCTACTTAGGAGGCCTGTCACTGGGGACTTCCTTATTGCTATTGATCTTTTGTGTGGAAGGTGCTCAGATATGATAGTGATGGACAGCAGGCCAAAACTAGATATCTCACCCATCCAGGAGTCAATCTCCCAACACTACAAAAACACTCCCAGAGTCTGGAAATGCTGAAACCCGAGGGGCTGCTCAGCTAAAAGGAGCCTTCATGTAGAGCTGCTGAGAGGGGACAGGGGGCTACCAAGGCCCTAGAAGCCTGACATCACAGAAAGGAGGGGACAGAGGTCGGCTCCATTACCAGTTGCAGTTTGCAGCAAGAAGTACCTCTGGCATAACAGTCCCTTTGTGCTGCACAGAACACCCCTTGGAGATAACAGTCAGAGCTCCCGTTTCTCAAGGAAACAAAACTTCCTGTTAGCCCCATAGACTCAGCCCAGTGACAGGAGAGGGAACCAGAGGCTAGTCTGGCTCACACATCACCAGTAGAACGGTTAGATGAGCCAAGTGCTCTTGGTTACACTTGGGCAATCTAATGAAGGCAATGGGGTTAGGACTGTGTGGCTCACCTGGGACCAGGACCCAACGGTGATGAGGGGGAGGGGAATGTGGCTGCACGTGGCTCACCTGAGGGTGTGACCTGAAGGTCACAGGACAGTTTGGGTGATGACTGCACAGAGGTCAGGATATGGCCTGCCGAATCATTCTTGCTGGTGATGCTACAAGGCGGGGAACACCTTAGCATAGCTCCCAGCTCCTGGGGAGTTTGAGGCATTTGTGTCACTGAGATGATGTGTACAGGGCCCCAAGAGGTGGGTTTGACAGTCACTCACCAGAACAGAGCTCACCAGAATCGTTTGCCTGTGCTGTGATGGGGAGGCCGCGAGGTCCTGCTCAGCTAGGGCACAGGGAGGGAGCTTCAGCCCCTGACAAAGGATCCTGAGCTGGGAAGGGGCTAGGAAAGCCCTTGCAAAGGCTCCTCCTGGTCCCTTTGCTTCTTGTCCTCATCCTCTGCACGAGCAGCTTGTGCCCAGATGAGGTGCCAGTGCCGGGGCATGGCTGAGCGGCCACCTAGATCATGTGCCACAAAGAGATAGACTGTGGTTGCCCATGGAGACCACAGCTTCCAACAAACCTGGGGTAGCAAGTGTGGGACCTGGGGAGGGAACCTGAGCCTAAAGTCTCCAAGAGGAGAATGAGGTGAGCCCAGAGGGCGGGAAAGAGTCTGGGCCCAGGGGAGGAGACTCGGGGGGGGGGGTGTTTGAGTGGGGGCCAGAGGGGCAGCCTGGGCCCCAGGGGTGGGGTATCTCTGAGAGGGGGCAGGGAAAGGAGCCTGAGTCTAGTAGGGTGTGTCTCCGAGCTTGGGAGTGGGTCTCTGAGAGTGGGGGAGGGAGCCCGAGCAGGAGCTGTCTCGGGGGGTGGGGGCAATCTGGGCCCCAGGGAAGGTCTCTGAGGGCAGGCGGGGCAGGACCTAAGCCAGGGGGTAGCAGGGGGGGGAGCCTAGGCCGGGGTGAGGCTCTTGGTTGACCCGGCACTCTACCTCCTGCATTCGAGGCCCCATTGGCTGGTAGTTCTGTTCCTCTCTCGTCCCAGCCAATCAGCGTCGTTCGGCTCCTCCAATGGCAGGAGGGGACGAGCCCACCAGGCGAAGTGGCCTGGGTGACGCGGGGAAGCTAGAACAAGGCTCCACCCAGGGAGCTCACGTGGCCTCTAGCCGGGCCGGCGCGGCTCCTCTCTGGAGACTTTGTCACGTGAAGTGAAGAGCTCCCCCTCCACGTGACCCGTGAGCCAGTAGGACAGGCTAAGAGGCGGGCCGAGACCGGGCTCGGCCAATGGGAAGACGGCCGAGGGGAGGGGAGGGGAGGTGGGTTGCCCAGAAGCGGCGTCAGGAGTGGCGCGGGTGCTGGGCGAGAGCATCCGGAAGAGGCGCTGTCTCTCCAGAAGCCCGGGCGCCTCCTGTTCGGGAGCTGTCCGGCGAGTGGCGGGCCGGGCCGCCCCGCTCTGCGCTGGGGTCGCTGGAGATCGGGCAGCACCGAGCAAGGACGGGGAGCGCGCCTCGGGGACAGGTGTGATGGGGCGGAGCTAAGGTGGGCGGGGTTACGGAAGGTGGGCGGGGCTAAGAGCGGTGTCTAAGGCAGGCATGATTGCTCATGCATGGGGTGGCTTGGGGCAGGATTTGGTAGGGTGTGTTGGAGTGGGGCAGGGTATGACAGGGTGCAGATGGATAGTGTGTGGTATGGGGATGGGATGGGTAGGGAGGGGAACAGCATGTGGGGGTAGGACAGGGTGCCAGAGGTGAGGTGAGGTGGGAGAGGGCAGGGTGCTGGAGGTGGTGTGGAAGTTTGGCAGTGTCTGGTGTGGGGTTGGCACAGGACAGGGTGCTGGAGGTGGGACAGGGCAGGGGAGCAGTATGTAGGAGTGGAGTAGGACAGGTTGCTGGGGGGACAGTGTGTGGGGGGCAGGGACAGGTACTGGGGAGGTGGGGGGCAGTGTGTGGTGGGAAGGACTGGGCGCTGCAGAGTCTGTTGATGCCCCCAGCAGCGGCACACCTGCACTGACAAAGCATCTTCCCTTTCAGTTCTGTTTCCTTGCCTGGGTGGCTGCTCTTGTGCTGGCGGGATCAATAGGCCCTTCAGAGTGGTTTGGATGGGGATGCAGATGGAGAGTTGCAGAAACTGACAGTAGGGCTGCAGGCTCCATGCTAACAAAGCGAGCTGTAGGGAGGTGTGGGCTGGGACCCTCATCACCTGCCTCCAGTCCCAACTGCAGGCATCCCAGTTCAGTCTGGCCTTGGTGACCAGTGTGGTTAGTGATATGGACCATGTCCAGTCTAGGATTTAGGGGAGGGATGGGTTAAATCACAGAATCATAGAATATCAGGGTTGGAAGGGACCTCAGGAGGTCATCTAGTCCAACCCCCTGCTCAAAAGCAGGACCGATCCCCAATTAAATCATCCCAGCCAGGGCTTTGTCAAGCCTGACCTTAAAAACTTCTAAGGAAGGAGATTCCACCACCTCCCTAGGCAACGCATTCCAGTGTTTCACCACCCTCCTCGTGAAAATGTTTTTCCTAATATCCAACCTAAACCTCCCCCACTGCAACTTGAGACCATTACTCCTTGTCCTGTCCTCTTCCACCACTGAGAATAGTCTAGAACCATCCTCTCTGGAACCACCTCTCGGGTAGTTGAAAGCAGCTATCAAATCCCCCCTCATTCTTCTCTTCCGCAGACTAAACAATCCCAGTTCCCTCAGCCTCTCCTCATAAGTCATGTGTTCCAGACCCCTAATCATTTTTGTTGCCCTTCGCTGGACTCTTTCCAATTTTTCCACATCCTTCTTGTAGTGTGGGGCCCAAAACTGGACACAGTACTCCAGATGAGGCCTCACCAATGTCAAATAGAGGGGGATGATCACGTCCCTCAATCTGCTCGCTAAATGGGATTAGATTAGCTCAGTCTCACTAACTCAGGCATTACATTGACTGGCTCAGTGTATGCTAAACATCTAAAGTACAGTTTGTTTTTTCTTGACTAGGTGTTAGGTTAATCACTGTTATTTAGCCATCTATCTTCCTAGCCTGGTGTAGCCAGAGCCCAGGAAGAGGGTGCACCCAGCTCGCTAAGGAGACCTGCAGCTGCTGTGAAAATGGCAGGAGTTGCAATCAGCACAGGACAGAAAGGCTCCCTGGAGAAGGAGGGGGCTGATTAAAAGAAGGGGAGAGGTTAGGAATGTGGGCAGTGACTTGCAAAATGAGGCACTGAATGGGCAAGTGCAGCTGGGACACCTGAGAGGGATGATCTGCCAGCCAGAACCTGGCTGGGAGATGGGACAGCCAGAGTGGCCAGAAGGAGCTGGGGGGAGGACACGTGGCAAAGGAGACCACCTGGGTCTGTGATGATCGGATGAGGCTGCAGGAAAGGCTGGTGCAGGTTGAGGCTGGTGTGCGTCTCCCACAGCAGGAACGGAGCCCTGTTCTTTGCAGAGCTGAGGCAGTTGGGATGTTGTGTTTGGGAGCTGGGCCTCTCGGAACCAGAAAGGGATTGACAAACCCTAGGGCATGAGAAGGGCCACAAAACAGTACAGGGAGCTGGAGGGGGAGACTCCAGAGAAGGGGGTGGGGGGCAATCGGCCTAAGGGCAAGGGAATGAGCCCCCAGGAGGGGGAGGGGTAACATGCAGGGGCAAGATTAGGAGCTCCAGCAGGGGACTAAGAAAGTAAATCTACCTCCCTTGATTCTTCTTGAAGCTTCAGTCTGACAGGGGTTCTCCTTCACTTCCCGCTAGGCACTCCTGTGTGGCTGTTCAACAGCTGCCTAGCCCCACCCCAGAGGTGGCTGCACATTAGTGCTAGATAAGGGCAGGGCCGGTGCAACCATTAGGTGAACGAGCCGATCGCCTAGGGCGTCAAGATTTGGGGGCGCCAAAAAGCGGTGCCCCCCAATTTTTTTTTTTTACATTTTAACTTGTCTTTTCTCTGAGCATGGACACTGCCTGGCCGCCGCGCAGCACCGGGGGACGGACCCTGGGCGCAGCTTTCACTGTGGCGGGCGGGGCAGCACTGCGGGCAGTAGCAGATTCATCATGGTGCCAGGCCCACACTCCGAAGGGGCCCCAGCGGCCACTCTTCTCCGTCCCCCGCCCTCCCCTGCAGGGGCAGAAGCTTGGTGCTGGGGCTCTGTTCTACTTCAATAAGGCAGGCTGTGCCTGCAGCCTAGCTCCTCCCCTCCCCTGCCTCTTCCCCCAGCGTGCTGGGTTCCCACCTCCCCCTCTCACTCCCTCTTCCTCCCTGCCACCGATCAGCTGTTGCCAGGGAGAGGGAGGAAGTGGAGAAGAGGCAGGAGCGGGGCCTTGGGGGAAAGGGGTGGAATCGGGGTATATCCCCTCCAGCCCCCTGCCGTGAGCCGCTCAGGGCAGGGGGCTGGGAGCATCCCCATGACCCTAGCCCACACCTCCAGCCCTCTGCCCTGACCCCTGCACCCCCAACACCTCCCAGCCTTGACCCCTGCACCCCCCACAAATACCCAGCCCCAGCACACCACATGCCCTGACTCGTGAACCCCCTCACACACACCCAGCCCTCAGTCCTGACTCCTGCACCCCCACATATACCCAGCCTGCCCACCTCATGCCCTGACTCCTGCACATCTCCACCCCCAGCAGGGACTAATCCTCCCCCCATGACCCACTGTGCTCATCTTGCCCCTGGCCCCTGTCTTGCTCCAGCTGGGGATCAATCCTTCCCCCCCACCATGCCCAGTTGTCAAGGTGGATAAAAATCAATGACTTAAAAAAAAATGGATTTTTTTTTAATTTAAATCGGATTTTTGAGGGAAAAATCCATCTAAAGATACATTATATCTTAATTAAAACTATGATGGAATAGGGATTATAAATTCTAATTCTATAGTATGAGACAATATATTCATGTAATGTTTAAGAAAAGTTTTGTAAATGATTTCTAATAGTTCATGGATTAGGGACCCAATCTTATGGGGTTCTGTATAGATTATTTATGTTAATTTTTCTATCTACCCAATGGGACTCAGTGCTCAGTCTAGAAGATACCATCAGAGATGCTTAGTTTTGCAGTTCTCAAACTGTGGACTTGTGTCTCCAGAGATAACACGGTTGTTAACAGCAAAAATGTTTTTAAATAAATAAATTAATGTATAGAGGTGAGAAATAACAGACCTCAACTCTATTGTCCCTCTGCAAATTTGTGTACACAGGATCAACCCCTTACCTCTCTTTAAAAGTGAAAGTTTCCAAAAGTTCAATGAATAGAAGAATAGAATTTGGGGCAGAATAGATCTGGACAAGGAGAAGAAGTCTGGAGATAAATGAGAGAAGTGAGGAACATATGCTTTTTTTTGTTAAAATATTTTATGTTTGCTGTTGAAGAAAAAAATCAAAGACTACATATCTTTTTTTTGTTAAAATATTATAAATGTTAAAAATCAAAGACTACATATGCTTTTTTTTGTTAAAATATTTTATGTTTGCTGTTGAAGAAAAAAATCGAGACTACTTAACGTTGTTGTTTTAGCTAAGTAAAACAATTTAAATGTCTTTCTGGTGATGTTCTCCTCCTAATACAGCCTGGCAAGAAAATCCTCCAAATATTAATGATTAACCTCTTGAATTGAAGATAGTTCACCTCCCAATGACTTCATAAATATCTGCTCCAATTATCTTTGATAAATGAAATAACCAAACAATCATTCATTTTCATCTGAAAAGTTTTCAAAAATAAATCATTTAAAAAATGTATAGTGTGTACCTTCTAAAAATGAAACCTACATCTATCTCTGAGTTGTGAAGAATATGTATTAAGGTTATAACAACCAACAAGAATGCACTTTTATGTAGAAACCCATGATTAAATCAAGTCTTTCTAACTAGTGATTTAAGTCATGATTTAAATCAAATCCACCCTGCCTGCTGTGTTCTTGCCCCGGCCTCTTCATTCCCCAGGGGGGCCCACAAAAAGTTAATCCAGCCCTGAGGGGAGCCGGGCCGGCCCCCTCCAGGGTGGGGAGCACGGGGCCTGGCCTGCTCTGAGGCGGAGCACAGCCCCTACGGGCCCACAAGATGGGCCAGGCTTGTCTCGCCTAAGGCAGGACCCTTCGCAGAGCAGGGCTGTGGCAAGACCAGATGGGAGCTGCAGGCGGGCGCTAGGGGGATGGAGCGGGACTCCTTGCCCAAAGCCTGAGGGTAAGGGATAGCTCAGTGGTTGGAGCATTGGCCTGCTAAATCCAGGGTTGTGAGTTCAGTCCTTGAAGGAGCCATTTAGAGATCTGGGACAAAAATTGGGGATTGGTCCTGCTTTGAGCAGGGGGTTGGACTAGGTCCCCTGAGGTCCCTTCCAACCCTGATATTCTATGGTACCTGGGTACCTGCCGCTGCCTCCCCGTGTGCCCCCTGCAGCCTCAGTGACCCCTGCCTGCCCCCCTCATTCTACATTTGGCCCAGGACATTTTTAAATTTCTTGGGGCAGTTTACCCATCTCAGGATTTCTATGGGAAGTGCTCACCTGGAGCCACAGCTGGTCAATGCAGAGACAAGCAGGCACCATGAGGCATTATAGTTACCAAACATGGAAACCTCCCCCTCTGGGTACCTAGAATGTGTGTGTGTGCGATGTCATTTTCCTCGTCACGCGCAGCCGTCACCCGTTCTGACAGATTGTTTTAGTGCTAAGTTGACTAGTTTTCGGAGGTTGTCGACTGAGGCTAACTATTTTTGTTGAGTTGTTTCAGATCTAAGACTCTGGCAAGTGCTGCTGCATCAAGTATTAACTTTGTGTCAGTTGTGTGTGTATGTTCAGTGTTTGAGTGTGTATGTTTATGTGCGACTATGTGTGTGTAGGTTGTTGAAATTTGTCCTATTGATATTGTCATTGCCACTTTGTACCGTAGTGAAGCAGTACGAGGGGAGGGGAAAGGAGGGGAAGGGGGGGCGCAACGTGGGAGTTTTGCCTAGGGCGCAAATATCCTTGCACCAGCCCTGGGTAAGGGATCCCTGTGCATACAGGGGAAGTGCTTTGGGATCCTTCAGGGGAAAGGAACTAGAGATGTGCTGAGTTGATTATTCAGGGTGGTGTCTCTCCCATTTCTTCCCAGCATGTTGTACTGATTAGTCCCTGGAAGAGGCCCCAGTGCAGCACCCAAGGCACAGACTCTCCCCACCACAGGGCTGGATTATCTTGGGGTTCACGGCGCTGTGACCGGGGTTAGAGTTTGACACTCTCCCCACCCAAGGGTGGGAAAGAGCCCAGCTGCATCACTCTGTGGCCATGAGGTGCCTTGTTACCGGGGGCAATGTCAAAGGTGCGTGCAGGGCTACCAGCTGGGCATGGGGATGGGGAATAGGACGTGAGGCCTTTCCCCCTAAGGCTCACTGGCTCCCATCTGGCCCAGGGCAGAGGGACTGGTCTCAGCAGGGTGGGGAATGGGACACGGGGCCTTTCCCCTCTAGGGGGCACTGGCTCCAAATGGCCTTTCTTCCTGCCTCAGAGAGCAGGAGTTTAGGGGAGTGGGGGTGGGATGGGTCTGACGCAGGGTCACTGTCTCTCTCTCTCCTTCCCCCCCAGTCATAGGGAAGGCCGTGCACTCTCTGTCCCGCATCGGAGACGAGCTCTATGTAGAGCCCACGGAGGATGGGGTAAGGGGGGGGTTTGTTCTAACTGTTGGGGGGCACCCTTCTGATCTGCGGGGGAGGGAAGAACTGAAGGGGGTTGTCAGCAGAGGACAGGGGTGTCTAATCAGGGTTTGGGAGTTGTCACTGAGCTCCAAGAGGAGCAAGCTGGGTCGCTCTCTGGTTGGTTATGGGGCTGGCTCTCCTGCGGGGGGGGTTGGTTGGTGATGGGGCTGGCTTTCCCATGGGGGAGGCGGAGGAGCTGGTCGGTGGCGGGGCTGGCTCTCCCCGTGTTGGGCTGGTCGGTGATGCAGCTGGCTCTCCTCTCCACAGCTCTCCCTGCGTGCTGTGAACTCTTCCCGCTCAGCCTACGCCTGCTTCTTGTTCGCCCCACTCTTCTTCCAGCTTTACGAGGAAGGGAACTTGGACCCCGATGGGGAGACCTTCCGCTGCAAGGTCCTCATGAAGGTGAGGCTGTGGTGCCGTCAGGGTGTCAAGGGTGGGCCTCAGAGGGATGCCCCAGGGCATAGGGATATCTGGGATATGGGAAGCCCAGCAGAGGGCCCTGGCTCTATGGTGGGGGAGTAGTCCATTTGCCCAGGGAGAGCTGGGCTCAGGGCTGCGCCCCTGGCTGCACCCCTGGCCTGTGCTGTCTCCTAGCAGCCTGTGTGCCTAGTTCCTGTGTCCCAGGGGCTCGCCTGCAGGGAGCAGGAGCTTGTGACTTCCTTTGCCCTGGGCAGTGAGTGCAGCTGGCACAGGGTGTGGTGGGGGAGTGAGGAAGGGATCGGGGCTTGGGACCATCCTGTTCCATGGGAAAGAATCTTGGTGTGAATCTGCAGGAGTCCTGGGTTCTCTCCCTGGCTCTGGAAGGGGAATTGGTGTCTCATGGTTACAGCAGGGGAGCTGGGAGCCATTTCCCCAGCTGTGTGGCGGGAGGTGCAGGTGGTGACAGGGTGGTGTCTATGACCCCTAGTCCTTCCTGGGTGTGTTCCGCTCGCTGCCCTCGCTGGAGAAGACTGTGGAGAAGTGTCTGATTTCCCTGAACCCCCGGGCCAGCCGGCTGGTTGTCCAGCTGCACTGCAAGTACGGTGAGTGCACTGCTGCTGGGGAGCCCTCTAGTGGAGTGGGAGGCGGGGATCTGGGTGGCCCTGCTGGGACAAGAAGGGGTGTCCAGGAAGCTCCATTAGCAGGGTGGGGGAGGGAAATGAGGGAGCCCTCCAATGACAGGGGGCACCTCAGGGGTCCAGTGACAGTAGCAGGGGGCCTGGATGGAGTGAGTTTGGGTTGGAGGGCTGGGGCAAGCGGAGCTGGGGGCCAGGTGGGCAGAGGGGGCCCTGCAATGAATGGTACTGGGAAGCGGAAGGGGGCTTGCAGGTGGGCTGGGCCAAGGGGTGAGTGAAGCTTTGGGGACGGGGGGGTGTGTGTGTGGCAGTTTCCAAGGGTCAGACCCTCGGCCTGGTTCCCTGTTGAACACAGGGCCAGGCTGGTGAGGTGCATTGGGGAGGATCTGCAGGGGCGGGTTCTGGGCTGGTGATGGTCCTGATGCCAGGGCAAAGATGGCCCTGGCCCTGAGCTGCTGTCCCGATGCCCTTGCCAGGAGTCACCAAGACCCACAACTTGTCATTCCAAGAGTGCGAGTTGCTGCAGGCCGTTTTCAACAAGGATCTGTGCGCCAACATGCTGCGTGCCCCTGCCCGGTGAGTGGCCTCTGCCAAGTCAGGGGAGAGGAAGCGAAGCATGAGGTATAGCTGAGGAGTTCACAGCCTTTTTCTTTCTGAGGCCTCCCTGCATGCTATAAAAATTCCAGGGCTCAGTGGGGAGGCCTCCAGGCTTCAGCTACCAAAGCAGGGGCGTCTTCTGGGAGGGAGGGACATGAGCCCGCTGGGGCTGGGACTCAGGGGCTTCAGCCGCAGTGTAGGGGGGATCTTGGGACTGTGGGCTTCAGCCACTGGGTGAGGGGAGGAGTTCTGGGCTTTAGCCCTGTGGGGCTGGGGGCTTCTGCCTTATGGGGCACCAGGGCTCGGCACGCCAGGCTTTGGCCCTGCAGCTTCACTTCTGGCTTTAGTCTCGCGGGGGAAAGGGACTTGGGGTTCCGGGCTTCAACTGTGGAGCCCGCAAACCCCTGAAACCAGTTCACAGCCTCCCTGGGGTGCTGTGGACCCTTGGTTGAGAACCACAGATATAGATGACGGGAGTGCAGAGAGATTGGGAACATATGCTGGCTCCCTTGGGTGCTAGTTTGGGGTGGGAAGATCGGGGGGGGGCAGAAGCTGTCTCTCTGGGGTGCTAAGTCGGCATGGAAGAGGTTGGAGGTTCGGGGGGGCACAGCTGGCTCTCTAGGGCGCTAGGTTGGCACAGAGAGGGTAGGAGGATTGGCGTCACAGCTGGCTCTCTGGGGTGCTAGGTTGGCACAGGTGGGAGGATTGAGGGGCACAGCAGGCTCTCTGGGGCAGTAGCTTGGCACGGAGGGGGTGGGAGGATCGGGGGTTCAATTGGCTCTCTGGGGCGCTCCACGGAGTGGGTGGGAGGATGCAGCTATGTCTGTAGGGTGGGGCTCACAGCTCGCTCACCTCTGGTGGCAGGGTGCTGGTGGATGCTGTGGTCCATTTTCCGGTGACACTGGCCGAGGTGACGCTGGGGGTCAGCCCTGCCGGGAAGGTGAGCTTCCGCAACTACCTGGATGAGGAGACAGGTGAGCCAGCCCGCCCACCATGGGCTTCATCCTAAAGAGACACAGCACGGCCCAGTCCTCCTGCCATGGGGCTGGACTGGAGCTGGCACCCCCTAGAGGGGAAGAGCCCCATGTCCAACTCCACAAGCCCTGGTGTCTGGGCTGGCTGGCATCTCTGGGGCGGGAGGTTTTGGCAGCTGTTTATGGAGAGTGGCCGGTGGGTCCTGGGGGGTGGCTTGGCAGTGTGGGGACACCAGGAGGCTGATGCTGAGCCCCCTCTGTCCCCAGAGCCCAGCAGGATAATGGTGACCGAGCTGTGCCTCTCTGAGGATGAGTTCCAGGACGTCCAGGTGCAGCAGCAGTCCCATGTCACCTTCTGCCTCAAGGAGTTCCGGGTGAGCAAGCAGGGCCCCCTGCCCCCCAGCTCTTCTGCTCTAGCCCCAGAGGGTGAGGCTGCCTCACTGACCCTGTCTGTCTGCCCCTAGGGTCTCCTGAGCTTCGCCGAGTCCTCCAACCTGCCTCTCAACATCCACTTCGACTCCCCCGGCAGGTATGTCCAGGCCAAATGTTTGTGGGGTGGGGATGCTCCCTCTACCTCAGTGCCCTGAGCTGGCTCTCTCCAGATGGGATCACGTACTCATTGCCACTCACTCCCTGCCCCTCTGGATTGGCTGGGGTCGCATGTGGACTCCCCAGCCTCCTGCTGTAGCTCTCTTTTTCGCTCTGTACACACCCTCTGCTGTCCCTGTAGAGTCTTGGACCGCCCCTCCCAATCTGTCTCATCCCCCTGTGCTATCCCTGCAGGCCGGCCATCTTCACCCTGTCAGACCCCCTGCTGGAAGTGCACCTGGTCCTGGCCACCCTGTCAGACCCCAACAGCAGCTCTCAGGTCCGTTCCACAACCTTGCAGGCTCAGCCGGCCAATGGGTAAGCAGGGCCCTGTGGGTTTGAAAGTAGCATTCACAGTTGTCATTAGAGTTCAGAGTGAACAGCCCCATCAGACTAGTTGGCTGCCACCTCCCTCGTAGAGCTGCTGTTGCAGGCTGTCTGCAGACTCAGGTAGCAGCTTCTGTGGGGAAGCCTAAGGGTGGGAGAGCTGGGTTACTGGGCTGGCCACAAGGGGGAGGGGTAAGGACCCCATCTCCAGAGGCAGGGTTTGACTGTGGCCCCAGCCCCACTCCCTTCTCCCCACAGTGCCTTTCCCCTGGCTACTGCTGATGACTTCACAGCCGATGATATTGATTCCTACATGATTGCTATGGAGACCACATGTGAGGAGGGGCCAGGGCTGCCCTCCAGCCCCACCTTTCCCCAGAGATGCCCCCATCCGTGCGGTGCCATGGAGAGTGATCTGGAGGTGGCTGTGCCAGGGACCCCCCCCCAAAAAAAGGTATGTGGTGGTGACTGGGGGGGGTGCCCTAATGTGGGCAGAGGCATCAGGGCTGTTCTGTGGAGGGGAGCTGTGTGGACTCCCAGTTGCTGGTGGCAGGGGTGTATGGGAGCCTGGGGGGAATGGGACCATGTGGGTGGAGGGGGAGCATGGGTGGAGAGGGAAGCTGGGGAGTCCTCTTCCCCCGCCCCCCATCTCTCCCCCCTGCCCCCACATCCTGCTGCATCTCTTTCAGTTCCGCTCCTTGTTCTTTGGGTCGGTGCTGACCCAGTCTCAGGCTGGGACCCATCCAGGGCCCAGCCAGGATGTGCTGGCTGAGGACAGCGAGGGAGAGTCCTGAGAGGTCACCTTCTGCAGCGTGGCTCCAAGCCCCCAAGAACCTGCATGGAGAAGCTGGACTTTACAACCCCATTACCTCTGCTGAAGCAGGGCTAGGGATGCTGCTTCCAAGCCCCTGTGAAGACATTGCCCTGTAAATAAAGCTTTTATAATAAAATATGCTGCTGCCTGCAGAGCTGCTGCTGGGGCTGAAGGAGAAGCTCCGCTCCACCCCCAGCCAGTTGGCGGGGCTGCGGGCAGGATCCTTTCCTTCCCACACCTTGCAAAAGCTAGGCCAGGCTGTTCCATCCCCCCAGTGCCTCTTACTGTAGCTAAGCTAGCTGGGCTCCCTGCTGCTTGCCTAGGTCCTTCTTGCAGGGCTGGTGGGTTTGAGGCTGTGACAGGGGGTGTATCTGCCCCAACTTGCCCTGCAGGGACTGTCCTCGCTCAGGGCAAATTCCTGGGAGCTGCTGGAGCCCTGCTGCTGGCCGTGAGTGAGCTGGCTATGAAGCTGAGCTGCTGGGCTAACAACAGCCACAGGCTGAGCAGCTGGGGCACACTGTAACCCTCTTACTGCCCAGGAGCACCATCCCACCCAGCCCTGGGGTCCAGTAAGCAGTCTCCCCACCCCACCCTTTCCCTGGTTAGAAGCCAGCAAATCTGCAGCTGCCAGTGTGCATGGTGTCTACCTCGGCTGAGGGAAGCTGCCAGACTGTCTGCTGGGGGGCCACAAACTAGGCAGAGCAGGGGGCTGTGTCCTGCTCCTGGGCACCTGGCTCTTATTAGCCCTGCTGCTTCCCAGCCACACTGGGGTCAGGAAGAGCAGGCCCATGCTTTCCCCCTCCAGCACACTCCCATTGTAATGGCTGTCATACCCCCTTCCAGGCAGCTGAGTTCACCCCAATATCCTCTGCTACAGTGACCCCCACATGCTGCCTCCTCCCATCTTAATGAGGGGGCAGTCTGGGCTCAGCTGCACTGACACCCTCAGCACCCCCTTCTGGCAGGGAGCCCTTGGCTCCTGGAGCCATCAAGGTCCCTGCAAGGGCTGTGGCCCCCTGCTCTCCATCATACCAGGCTAGTTCATGGCCCCACCATAACACAACCCCAACCGATGGTGTAGGGGCAGCACAGCTCTCCCCAAAAGTGGCTGCACATCAGCACTCCGCCAGGGGAGGGGGGGGCGCGTGAGGAGGTGCTGGGGGCTGGAAGGCGCTAGGCCCCTGCTCACAGGTCAGAAAGGAGCGCCCTGTGGCATTGGCTGCAACAGGCAGGGGCTGAGGGGAGATACCATTGTCCACTCCCAGGGGCATTAGAGCCTCAGCATGGGGCAAGACAGGGTATTCCCTGCATAGCCCCTCAGAGAGCCCCTGCCATGGGTTGGGAATGGAGGGACAGGGAGGCAGCAGGATAAGAATTTCTGGTAAATATTTATTCAAAAAAAATCTTCTCAGCATTGTGGGGGAGGGGCAAGGGGCTCAACTGGCAAAATAGACTTGATCCAAAAAGGTTAAACCCACTCCCCCAGAATCAAGAGCCCTCTCTGGCTCCCTCTCCCCAGAGCAGGATTTTTGGTATCAAACTCCAGGAGTTTAAAAATAATAAATCAGCTCTGCCCCAGGCAGGCAGGGTGGGCACTAGACAGCAGAGCCCCTCTGTGCAGAGAACTAAGGACAGGGCAGTGAAGGGGCACCCCCAGTCCATGGGGTAGGGCAGGGGGAGCAGCTGGTTACTTCTTGGCCTTGGCTGAGTTACGCGGGGGTGTGACAGGGCGCCCGCCGGGGTTCAGGCCGCTGAACTGCCCGTACTTGCCCTTGTTCTTGTCAGCCGGTTTCAGGATCTGCAGGAGAAGAGGCAGGTTGGATGCAGAGAAGGGGGTCCCAGCCTGCTGGGCCCTGCCCCTCAAGAGCCGGCACAGGTACTGGGCCAGGGCCCATTCCAGCCCCCGCAGCCCAGAGGATCTACTGCTCTTGAAATTTCAGCCCCGCCCCCTCACTGAAGAAGTGGCTGCCATAGGGACACACCTCCTCAGAGTCCAGACTTGGGGTCCCCACAGCTCCTCTAAGGCCCAGACCCTTCCCCATCTGGGCTGTTACTGGAAAGGGGGGTTGTCCTCTGCAGGAGGTTTCGTCCCCCACTCGCCATTATCCCAGCTGATGTCTGACACCCCTCCCAGCTCCCCCTGGCAGGGAGCTCAGGCTGCAGGGCCAGGGCTGCCGCAGGGTGCTGGTTCCACACCCCCCCTGCCCCAGCAGGGTGGGCATGGCACTGCCCTGCCCCGGGCTCACCTGGAAGGAGCACATGAGCGTCTCGTCCACACTCATCATAGCGCCTGCGTTGTCAAACTCGCCGCAGTAGTTGGGGGCTGAGAAGAGTGTCACCAGCTGGCGCTTGGCAAAGAACTCGTAACCATCCTCCACCACCTGGGGCAGGGAGACAGAAGTTAGTATCTGGCTCAACCCACCCCCAGGCACCCCACTCCATGCCCCCAGCTCTGCCTGACCCCCAAACTGGCACAGCCTGGCACCACAGACTAACCCTCTCTGTCACCCACATGGGACGCAGGAGCAGGAACAGACTGATCCAAACAATGCAAGCCACCCCCAGCCAGCAGGTTCCTGTACCCCACAGCCAGGGGAAGCCCCACCAGAGAGCACCCCACACAGTTCTGACGATGGCCCTCCATCCAGACCCACAGCCCCCCAGCCATCCCGGCCCTTCTGATGCCCCTCAATCTCATCCAACAGCCCCCTAGTGCTGGGCTCCCCCGCCCCCCCCTCCCCCGCTAGTACCTGGTGTGCCCGACAGATAAGGTCCAGGTCGTGTTTGTGCAGGAACTTAGCGACCACCTCAGAGCCAAAGGTGAAGGAGACGCCGCGATCATTCTCGCCCCAGCCCTGGACATCCTTATCGGGGTCAGACCAGAGGAGGTCGCACAGCAGGCCCTGATCTGGCACGTCCGTGGGGCGCATGATTCTGCGGATCTGCTCCATCGACTGCAGGTCTGGCGAGAGCCCTGAGGGGAGGGGGGAAATTAGTCTGTTAGATTCCGCCCCACACACTGTGGTAGCATATTAATAGGGCCCTTTGTTTTCAGTTTTTATTTTATTTAATTTTCTCCAGGAATTTATCAGTGTTTATTACCACAACACCACCACCAGGTGAAAAATCAGTGCAAAAAACTTAATTTTTCTGGGTAAATACTGGTTTTATTTTGGTGGACGGAAGGACGGGGGAAAAGTATTCAGTAAATTAATGCTGTGAATTCCATTCATCAATGTGGTTTGCTGCAGAACTAAAACAGAACTCAAAACACAATGTCACCTCTGAGTTTAAGAAAACAATAGATCTCTAATCCCCAAATAAAGCTTTTTATTTGAACAGTTTACTGGTGTAGACTTAGAACTATTCGCATATAAATATTTACATTTAATAATTGGGCCACACCATTTGCAGCACATACACTCAACTTCATCCTTTTCTCCTGTTTTTGTTTTTGAAAACTTTTGAATACTTCCTTCTGTTCAGAAATGTATTCTGATACAGATTTTCTTCTCATTTTAGTGTGTCAGATCTTTAAACCGTTATCTGCTAACAGCTTGAAATGTGTACGTGGTGAGCATGAGATTCATCAGTATGTTCAGATGCACATGCACTTCAGATTTTGCATGTTGCCTCTTTATTTCTTGCATGTATCTTCTAGACCAATACATAGCCTTAGTTCAACAGGCAGCTTTGCATATATACAGACTAATGTATTATCGTGATACATATAGCTCATGCAATGCTTTGTATTTTCCTAATCAAACATTTTTTTATATATATTTGAATGACGGAAAAGTAGGGTGAAAATCAGAAAAAAAATGAATAATACTTTTTGTAAAAACCTGGGAATTTTTCGGTAAAAATCAGTTTAAACTGAAAACAAAGGGGCTTACATTTTAATTATCCCACCATACACAGCCCCTATAGCAACTCCCTGCCCCCCAATATCTGCCTTGCAGCAGCCCACCCCAGATGCTCCCACCCCCCACAGCTCTCCCAGCATCCATTAGCCCTACCCCAACACCCTGCCCTGATCAAGTGCCCACAGCCCCATGGGACACTAGCACCCTCCGCCTTCCCCAGCAGTGCCCTCTACTGGATGAAGCCCACACTGGAATTCCTGAAACACCCCACTAGGTTGTCTCCCTGCCCCGCCCCCCCCAGGACAGGGTCACTGCCCCACACACCCTGCAGCCCCTCCCACACCTCCATGACCGCAGAAGATCTTCTCGTCCACAATGGCAGCGATGGGCAGGCAGTTGAAGCAGTCGGTGAACGTCTTCCACAGCTTGATGTTGTAGCGCCTCTTGCCTGTGGGGGACAATGTAGGGGGATGGGAGTCCAGTCACTGTGGGAGACACAGGAGCTAGGCCCCCCCCCAAGGCTGGGCCCTGGCCTGCTGGGAGAGACCTAGGCCATACAGGGAGCCAAATGAACTGTACAGTGACGGCACATAGGGCTTTCCTCTGTAGGGGGTGCCAGTCAGACCCTGTCAGCTAGGGGGCACATGGGATATAGGGCAGAGGCTGCCCTCTGCCATGGACATTGGCACACTCATGGTTCGGGGTGTAGAGGATATGGTGGTCAGGGCAGAGGGGGTACAAGAGTATAGATACGGGGTGGTGGAGGATATGGAGTGTACAGGGGGCAGAGTAATGCGGGCACACTCATCATAGAAGCCGTAAACGCGGTTGATGCTGGAGCGCTCATGGTAAGGGTGAGGGGAGCTGGGTTGGGGGGGGAAATTCAGGGGGCCAGGTGGTGGTGGTGAGGGGCCCCCACACTCACACTCATCGTAGAAGCCGTAGATGCGGTTGATGCTGGCACACTCATGGTTGCCGCGCAGCAGGAAGAAGTTCTCAGGGTATTTGATCTTGTAGGCCAGCAGGAGGCAGATGGTCTCCAGCGACTGCTTCCCCCGGTCCACATAGTCTCCCAGGAAGAGGTAGTTGCTCTCAGGCGGGAAGCCTCCGTACTCAAAGAGCCGCAGCAGGTCGTAGTACTGCCCATGGATGTCACCTGGGAGGTCAGGAGGGGAGTACAGCAGCTACCACAGCCAGGCCTAACCCGCCTCCCCCACAAAGCCAGGGTCCTCCCCCCACAGACCTAGGGATCCCTCCCACCTCTGGAAAAGG